GAGTCTATAATAATCTTGGTCTTGGTCAGTTATTAAATCCACATAATTCTTTGGCTAGATTTTACTTCAAATTACTATGCTACATATGATGTATGTGTGACTGATATAAACATATATATATATATACAATTATTTTCAGAAATTTTTATGTTTATACAGTGTAACCCGGATATAAGAGACCCTGATATAAGAGAAACCCGGATATAAGAGAGATTTTCCTCTGGTTCCAAATTAGAGCCTGTGTTAATGTATATAAAATAGACCAAACCCGGATATAAGAGACTTCTCCGGTCCCGACAACTCTCTTATATCCGGGTCACACTGTACATTCTTTTTATAGATACAAATATTTAAGTAAATGCTCTGTTTATAATAAACAGTATTAAACAACATTTACCGGCCTGAAACATTTTCACAAAAAAATCGTCGTTCTCCGACAGGATTCGAACCTGTATCCTATACGGAACCGTCATTTAGCTTGACGTGCCTTTAACCGATTTGGCCACAGAGGAGCGTTCGGTTAGCAAGGTCGAATTTTACCGTATTTGAACTTCTATCTTCTTTTATGAAATGGACAATTATTTTAAAATATTTTTATGTCTATACATTCTTTTTATAACTTAAATATAATTCTATTTTTTTTTTTATAATTTAAATATTTAAATAGTTAAAGCTAAATGACGGTGCCGTATAGGATACAGGTTCGAATCCACGGTACTCCAGACGATTTTAGAATGTCCTGTAGCTCTTCTTAACGGTCTCTTTGTTTAAGTTAATGAATTCTGCCATAATCCTTGCCTTCAGTTCATCTTTGGTGTTACAAAGAGTTTTGTTGGTCTCTTGCTCATCTGCAGCCTATACATAATAATCAAGGGGATTGCAGTCTGGGAAGTTAGATGGCTAGATGTAAGTGGTAATGTGGTCACAGAAATTGTTTGACAGCTATGACTGGGTTTTTCCTAATTGTATGGCATGGTGCAGAGTCCCGTTGTCAGACATAGGGTCTTCAAGGGCAGCACTACCACCTCAAGGACCCGTGGGAAGATAATCACCATCACTGGTAAACACCATGATGTTGACTGGATATATGATCCAACTCTTTTCGATTCCTCTGCACGATTCTCAGACACACAAACACTTTGTAATATTCGTATTGGAGCTTCCGACGCGAATGCCAAACCACGCTGTTTCCAAATTTCTGGCGGAGTGAATTGCGCCATTGTGCTCTTTTTCTCACAGACGGTGCCCAACTGACCCTACCATGCTGTGCAGTCGACAAAATCAAATACAAACAAAGCGTATGCGCGAAATTAAAAATATATAATGCCGACAATTTACCCATCGCACAAAGTGTATATATATATATATATATATATATATATATATATATATATATATATAAACACACATATATATATATATATATATATATATATATATATATATATATTTTTAACTGTCCTCGCTAATTTATTTACACGTTATTTCCCTCCCTCGTTACAAGTATATACACTTGTTTGTTATTTTCGTTACTGTTCTTTTCGTTAATTAATGATCCAGCGATTGTCTCCTGATGAGATGTTGGTTGAAAGGGCCTTAGAGACTAATAAAATTAAAATCAATATATATATATATATATATATATATATATATATATATATATAGTATACGAGGAATGATGAAAAGTTCTTGGCTTTCTTACACCTAAGAATAAATTCTGATGTTTAGTCATTTGACCAGATGTTGGAAAATGGATGATTTTCTTTTCTACTAATTTTTAACCTATAGAAGTCTTAAGTTCCAGGCATAATGAAGATGGTTGTTTCGAGAGATCTAAGACAAGGGGGCGTATTTTATGCGGATATACGGGATAGGGAACGATTAGTTCTAGACATGAAGCGGTTAAGATTGTAGTGAAATAGAAAGTACCCTCCTGGGATTCTGTTTCAAAAGCTAACAGTTCTTGGAAAGAAGCTATCCGACTGGAACTTACTCCTTATTAATGGAATATGAAGGCAATGAAAGTGGTATGGGGTGTATGCCACATAGCGTGTCTTAGCCAGGAGGGTTAGAGTTGAGGGAAGTAAGGTATGTAGCTTGTCTGAACATAGCGAGAGGCTTGCGGAGTTTCTTTTGTGGGAAAGGGGTTATAATGTGGTAAACACTTCATCTCACAGAAGGCCGCGTAGACACTGTTGGACACTATCAAGATTAGAAAGTGAAGATTAGACAGCTCTACCCCGAGGTATGACAGCCATACTCCATTTTTGCCCTGACCTGGCACTTGTAAAAGAGGAGTCAGGTGCTTACTGGGACGGTATAGGGAACTGAACATTTTTTGCAGCATTTTTATCGATGTATCGTATATACGAGCTCGACTTGAAGTCTGTGATGAGATTGTCCCAATAGGCGCTCAAGGCAAATGGGACCTCCTTGAGAGGACACCCGTTCATTGCGAGAGACGAAAATTCATGATCTGTTTGGTAATGACGAAACATAT